AGAGCCTAATAGGCTCATGGCATCTATTGAATTTGCATTTTTTCAAACAGCATCACCAATTGTTCTTCTGTTCATACTTTTCACAAAATTAGCCTTTGTCTATATCTCACAAATTACACCCTGTCCTAATCGGAGTTGGGGTAGAATTTCCATTGGCCAGGAAAAAAATGGCAAAACACCCCCAAACAACCCTTCAAAGAAGATTTCAGGGCAGTGATGGTTCACGCAGTGGACTTCCAGCAGACACGGCACAGTTCTTCATGTTGTGAAGGATTATCTTTCTATATGCCTCTTTTTTCTACTCTCCTGCTTTGGAGGTTTTTTTGCTGCTTCTGCATTTCTGTCTTGAACTTCCCGATTCTTAAACTTTTTAGTGCTGTCATCCATTTTTCTCATACATACGCTTTAAACATAAAAGGTGCGCTCGTGCCATATGTCCTTTTGCACTTTCATCTTTCTGTAGGTACTCTTACCTAATAACTTGAAAATAGCAAACAAAGCACGTGATCTGAGAAACAATCTGGTATTTTACCCTAAGGGAGGATTTTCTCAGCACACAAATCAAGAGTAAATAGTTAAAAATGCTGTATAGCATAGATCCAACGAAACTAACGCTTACTTGCATGTATGAGTGAAGTTATTTGCATGCATAAAGGTTGACAAAGTTGAACTCTGTATTATCAAATCTGTTGTCAAAAGTTGACCCCGGGCATTTTGCAAGAAAGATGATGATTGTCTCTTTAATTACTTAAATTCTGTTTTGCCTCTTTAGGAGAGCTACCCACAACTCTGTAATTATTGCGCGCCTGCCATTCAGATCAGGCGCTCTACTGGCAACGTAATGCACAACTTTGAACAAGAGTGGCGTGGCATAGCTACAACATCCAGCTACAAGGACCTCCGTTTAATTGAACACTTTGATTATCCCACAATAATCAGACAATTGAGTTGCTACAAAAGTTTGCCAGCACTCTAAGCGCTCCTACGGAATTACAGAATCATAGATATTAGAGATGGAAAGTGCATTAGATCATCCAGACCGTCTTCTTGCCAGTACATGTTTTCTGCTATGCTTTTTTTTTTTTTTCCCCCTGCGGTTTATGGCTAGAGATACTCTAAGAACTTGGCCTTCCACTTTGGTCTTCTGGAGTCTTTTCCACAAAGTTTGATGGCGAGATTTTTCTTTGCCTGATATTTGGCCTAAATTTTTTCCATTTCTTTGTTTCACCATATTATTTCAAGTCTGCGTTCTCATCTTTCAGTAATTCTCTCTGTGGTGTTAACAGCCTGTAAATATGAATGGCATAGTATTATGTGCTCTTGAATATTCGATGTATCACCTTAAGTGCTGCATGTTCAGTTCTTCAGGATTGGGGAAAATTATACTGATTGAACATAGGTTTTAAACCAAACTTCTAATAGTACAACTTCTCAGATGAATATTTAATTCCAGTATAAGAGTGGTCTGTTCTGGTGTCACTTGAGAAATTGTTGAAAATTACCTGAAAAGGCCAATTTTACTCGGAAATGAAAATGTTTTTATATGGGGGAGTTATGCCAGTATAACTTAAGTGATTTTTAACTCTATTGTGGCATTTAAACTGCGGGGAAGCGATGTGTGCAGGCAAGTCTGCAGAGAGCATTACAGGGAAAATGAAAAAATTACCTTTTTCCATTAGTGACAGAAATAGTGGAAGTTGTAATGCAGTTATTTGAGGCACACACCCCCCCCCCCCCAGCTTTCCATTATCCTATGCCTTTCTCAAAGTTTCTTCATAACTATTGTTTCTTTTTATAGTTTCACTTGTTTTGGTGAGATTTGGGGGTTGCTTGTTTGTTTTCTCTTCGTCCAGGCTTGGTCTTTGCTACCAGAAGCCTCGGGTGCCCAAGCAGGGTTGTCTCCAAAGTTTTCCCTTGTCTTGACCACAAAGAGCTAGGTCAATATCCCCCCAAAACAAATACTCCACAGCCATAAACAGGACAAATGGGCATTGTTTTTGCGGTCACCTCATGAGAGACAGGCCAGTTGGTGTGAGCTGGCGTATGGCCACGCTGGCCTGAGCCAGTCCCTTTGGAGCTGCCAACGGTCATGATACAGCGCCTTTACCCCAGACCTCCTCTGGTTTCTGAAGCATGACTACTGTTTTTCCTTTCAGAACGCCGCAAAGGATGGGAGGGTTGTGTTGCAAGCCTCCAAATAAAGGTTTTTTTTAGGGTGGGGGTGAGGGTGTGTGTTGCGTGCCTGCTGGAGGCACAGCGTGCCTGGAAGCTGGCAAAGGCAGGGCCAGCACCAGCACGGTGCAGTCCTCATCCCCACCATCCATCCGCATTGTGTCGGAAGGAGGCGTTGGACTCATTCAGAAGGGATCCCGGGAGCGGGTTAGCGTTGCTGTGGCATGGAGGGCTTGAGCTCAGGGAAGCCTCCTGGGCCTCGGGAGCTCAGGATGGTAAGCTGTCTTCTTTAAGCCACCGGGAAGCTAGATGCTGTGTAGGGATGTTGATGAGAGAGGTGAGGATGGGTGTATCCATAGGAGGTAGAATTACTATTAGCGAGTGGATTGAAGGTGTTTGAGGATCAGGTTGTGTAACTGAACGGGGAGATGAATGAAAAACATGTAAAGGGGTGGGTTACTGAGTGAATAAGAGAAAATGTGAGTGGGCGGGTAATTAGACTGGCAAGTGAGAGAGGAGGTAGGAGGGGGTGAGTAGATGGGTAGGTATGTAGCAAAAGAGTTGGAACAGCGTTATGGGCTGACTCTGTGGTGATACCTGAAAGACTGGTAGCAACCACCCCCCTCAAGACACGCAGAGAGGGCCGATGGCCAGCGCTGTTACAGGGACTGGGGGGTGTGCAGGTGAGCAGGCAGACCCTCGAGACCTCTGTTGCTTTCCACTGGTCTGCGTCCAGCTTGTTTGGATGGCACATCATTTACTCTGCCTAAACTTCACTGTGCCTGTGCACGCACTAAACAATAATCTTCACCTGGGTCAGACGGTTGTATTTTGCTAGTGTTCCATTTTGCTAGTGTTCCTGCAGAAATACGCAAGACTGTAATTATTTGCTGGGGTTTTTTGGCTCTAACAGTCACAGAGAAAGCAGAGAAAGCACAACAGAGACTTTTAGTCTGGAGCATTGCAGTTTGTAGTGGGTATTCCCAAGAGCTGAAATGACCTAAGAGCTGCAGGTGGAAGGACTTAACTGAGAAACAAAAGGTACAAAGATGAGGGATACGCTGGAATTACAGGTGCGCAACACATCAGCATAAAGGCGTCTCCTAAATTTGAAGATACTTTCATTTTAATGAATGAGATGGGAAGGTAAAGTAACTTTAAATCATTATCAAACCTTGACTGACGAGGCTTTTATTAGGATCTTTTACTATAACTGCTGTAAGGCTGGACATAGTTCACCATGACTAATACGTAACTTTTTAATTTACTATGGCAGAGTTACAACCCTAGCTGTGGCCTTTCTGTAGTCAAGTACAGTCAGGCTATTGTTTAAGGTAATGGCCCTACTATCCTGTTAAATTATATTAAGTTGTGGACGGTACATTTTCAATATTTATTGTAATAGAGCAAGTCCTTTTGAAGCCCAAATAGAGGTGAATGACTACTGCAGGAAGTCACAGGCTTTATCTTAGCTGCCAAAAAGGTGTGTATTTAGTAAGGAATAACTTGATACGCATTTATTGTACTGAAAAATCTTACTAGAGACCAGTCCCTGCAGGTTTTTCATCCAGTAGCTAGGTAAGGTGAGAGTTTTCCTTGCTGGACCTACTTTTTGATGAAAACTACATTCCTTTGTCTGTATGTGGACTTGACAGCAGGACGAAGACCTGGTATATCGAGCAGCCTGCTGCAAGGAGCACTGTCACCCCACACTTGCCATTGCGTTGTACATCAGTGGTTTTAGCTCAGGTTGCATCAGTTGGGATGGTTGCACCCACGTCGTGCTCTGAAAGCAGTTCGGGGAAGGAGATGGCCAGCCCAGTGTTACGGCATGTTTAGTAACTCTTACCAGCTCTGTGGTATTCGCTGTGTTGTTTTGTTTTTTTTTTTTATTGCCAGGCAGAAGTCTGTAACACTGGATTACACGGGTGTCTGGAAAATATGTCACGGTATTGGTAACTTTAAAAAGTATCCCTAAGCAGTGAGTGAAATCTTTCTCATCTTGAACATGGTCACCTGTTGCAAACTAAATTTCCTATAAAGCTTGGAACTGTAACAGAGCCAGCTCGTACAGTAGTCAGCATTTACTCATTTTTTATCTGAGACAAATCCAGAAATAATTTGCTGTGCTTAGGCAGATGTTTCTTACCATTAAAACAGAGCAAATCTCTTGCGGATGTTCAAACGCTGTAGTAACTGTGCAAAGTAAGATACAGAGGAATGTGTGGGTATGTTTAATACAAGTCTGTTGGGTTGTAGATCTGTCAAAGCCCCAAATTTGCATTTCTTACATAAGCAGGAATCCTGGTAGTGTTTACACATGCTTTGTGCTTTAGGAACTGCAGGAATTGAATTGCTGTGTGAAAAACACTGCTCTTAGTTGCAGTCTGTGGGGTTGCACAGACACTGTTAAATTATTTACAGTTGCAATCCTAACTAGAAGTTTGTTTGCTGTTACGCTTGATATTAAAACTTACCACAACAATCGTAAGAGCAGCATGCGACCTCAGTGGAAGTGTGGACAGTTGTACATTTCTGAGAATATACAGGAACAAAAACCTTGAAGTTTCCCTTCTGTTTAATTAATTGTTTGTTTTTGTCGGTGACAAGGTTACAAAGCATTTGTAATAAGCATGCTTCATCTTTTGCCATTTTTTTTTCCATATGGGTGTGTGCTTCCTTTTCATTATGTTGTTTTTCTTTCCTTTTTTTTTTTAACATGGCCACTCCTTTCATTTTGGANTAAGAAATGAGCTGCTTGCTGCACAGAAAAAAAAAGTTTCATAAACATGGCAATTCTGATCCTTCTAATCTTTTATTACCTGTAGGGACAGGTGCAGGAAGCTACTACAGGAGAGGAGGTTTACTAACTTTTTCAAGACTTGGGATTACACAAAGGAGCAGTATATTTTAGATGCTACGGAGAAAGTTCAGAACAACATGGTCGAAAGGTGCGTTGCTCAGAAATACATCCCTTTTGCTTGGCTTCTTTCACTTCAATTCTGCCCCATAGAGTTGTGAGCCCTTCAGCTAGCATTTCAAACACAAAACTGAAATAGGCTGTCTGAAGTCTGTACATACTATTGGTTTCTTGCTGTTTATAAAATAGATCTGGAGATACTACCTTCTAACACTTTGGTTACCTGGACTTCTGTTTGTTGCTCAAGAGAAAGTGAAGGGAACCACTCGCTTGATCTCAGTAAAAAAGAAAGCAATTAATGCCATTAGCTGTATTGACTGTGTAATGCTGAGATAGCGTCTGTAGGAAAACAACCAGACAGCTTAAAGAAGTAAGATTTTTTTCTTTTTTTTTTTTTTTTTAGCATGCTGAAACAGTTTAAAATGCTGAAATGGAGGTAGGGCAAGGAGGGTGGTAAAAAATACATCACCCATCCCTTGTGATTCTGTGGTTTTGTCTGACTCTTTTTCTTTTTTTTTTTTCCTCCTCCCTACGATCAGCCATGCGTTTCAATTGTGATCGCTGCCCTAAGACTGTAGCTGCATGCAAGATGTCTCATTTGCCTAATATTAAAAATGTGTGTGTAATAACATTTTTGTAATGCTTCCCATCTGGAAGATATGTTGCACACCTTTGTATTAACATTCACGGCACCCTTTTTACATGTTACTGTGTTTTGTAGATGGAGACTACTGTGAGTGGACTTGTTAGTGTACAGTTCTGGTCTGAAAAATAGTTCAAAGCAGCTTATTTATTGCCAGAATTAAGTTTTCACTATTCATCTGTCTTGCTTGGTCTAGTAGAACCAATCCATTTGTGAGAGAGTCATTGGTCTGCTTAAAAAAGTTACGGTTCATTTACCAGAAGAATTATTAACCAACTAATACATAGTAGGGGATCTGAAGACCTTCTTCCTCCAGTCATTCAGGAGATGCCTGGAAGCTTTAAGGTCTTGGTCTGAAATTGTACATGCAGACCAAATTGTAGCCATATCATAGGGTGTGAATTCCTGTCAAAAATTGTCTCAAAATGGTACATCCATTAAAACGTATGTACAAGTAATTGTCAAACTGCCATTTATATTAGCAAGGCTACATTCTTTCTTGAATGAAGTTAATAAAATTGTGTCAAAGAATGGGATAACTGCAATATGAAATAACCAGAGATTAACCTTTTCATTCTCAAGATTTGTAACAGAGGTATTGCTGCCTAAGCAGTATTACAAAAAAGGAAGAAAAGAGCAGCTTTATGTTCTAGCATGACTTTGGAAGAGGGACAGTGCATTGATGGTTTTACAGTATGTAGGAAAGCAAGCTTCTGAGACGCTTGTATACTTCAGATATATTTGCTTATACTGCTTATTTTTGCTGATATGTACTGATTAATAAATTTCCATTTTAAGTGTATAGCCATCCTTTAAAAGATCAGCTTTTCAAACTGCCAGGCAGCAGACAGCACCTATGTGCTTAATTCCAGCCGGTGGTGACACCTTCTGGATGCTGAGCACTTCGAAAATTTCACCTGTCATTTGGGTAATTGATTGAAAGTTGAGTTTTTCCCATAGCCTGGCATGATCCACAGTCAGTGGTGTAGCAGTAGGAGAAAACAGTCCAAATCTGCTGTCTCCCAGGCTTGTTCTCTGAACTGTTATAAAATGTTTTCTTTTCAAATTGTTTTTAGAACACAATGATGCAAATTTGAACACTCTCTGCAAATTTGACCTGTATTTATATCTGCGTGTTTGGAAGAAGGCTGTAAAATTATTTCTGTATTGTTTTCAGTAAATCTCCAGTTTATTATTCTGAGAAAATTTGATGCATCTGCAGTGTGCCTGATCTGGCTTTCTGATCTGCAGATGCACAGTCTTGCATATCTAGTCAAATCAGTGTAGCAACTGCTTTTACAAACTACGTGACAATGTACAACCTCCGATCTGAGAACCAGATCAGACTAAAATTGGGACTCAGTCCAAAAAATAAAATACTGCAATCAGTCTGCTTACTGTGTCAGCATTCAGATTCGTTTCTGTTATATACACTGCAGGGAAAGGAAGTGGAAAATACACGCTAGCATCCAGAAACGGATTCCTGAGTCATGGAGGATGGCCTAGATGGGCATTGTTAATAGGAGCTGCTTAAAGGTTCCCATTTTTGCAGACGCTGTATGGGCTAATAGATGTTAAAGGCGATGTTCTGAGCCTTTGTGACACTAAGGAAGTCACTGTGTGACACTACGGATGCCATGTGACTTCCCTGTTTACACTCAGCTCAGCTGTAAACGCATATAAAATAGCAGTGATGGACTGATCTGCTTGTGTCACAACATCCTCCGTCTGTGGTCCTCAGCCTCTAGAGCTGCCCCTTGCTTCCAGCGGTGATTTGCAGAGCTCAGTCCCTCGGAAAACTCTACTTTAAATACCGAGGCGTACAAACTGGGTTGACCTCTTGCTTAAGACCGTATGTTTCCTTCCCTTCCGCCTGCCCCGCTGCTATTCTGGGCTGCTGGCTGGCACCTCTCATCTGTCCGGGCGGGCATCTGCTCCTCGGGCAGGCAGTCGGTGGGCAGGTGGGCTTCCTGCTGCCGCACCCACCGCTTCACCGCTCACCCATCCATTCCTGCACGCTTGCCACTTAACCCTCTCATTCCCTTCTGTCCTAAATGTGCACAATCTCAGGAAAAACGTTCACCTCTCCTGCTGGGAGAGGAGGACCCATGCGCCCACGTAATGCTTCTCAGATCACTGTAGGCAGCACTCAAGTGCGTAGCGTGTACTGCATAGCAGACGGGTCACTTTGGGGTTATAACAGTAAATATTCTAAAAGTAATCACACTGTAGAAGTGATGTAAGCACTCCAGTTTCTGGCTGAAAGCCAGTTGTCAAGGTTTAATCTGCACCCTAAAGCTCTGCTGGTAAATCTGATCTGGCAATTCTGCCTGTGTGTGGGTAGAGGCACCAGTATCAAAATATCTTTCCTGATAAAGAGCAGTGGGACCTTTAATGTCCACAACAAAAGTAAAAACATTTTAAAGGGTTTTTAAAACTATTATTACACTGTAGATGTGCAGCAGAATACATGGGTGGGATTTGGCTCTGGTACAAAGACCAGACAGCATAATACATGTGCACGTACCTGTCTGCAGGTGCCCAAGGATAGGATTCAGTTGCCTGCCCATTGGTGTCTGGTGCCTTTGAGACAGACGCCTTAGGTTATCTGGGACATACCCATCGGGCTGGCAGGTACAACATGAATTTTATGGGAGTTTTATGTGGGCTAGGCATGACACTGTACATCACCTAAAATGACAGGAGGCATAGGCGCTGTGTTTAGGCAACTAAATCTTCGCCCGAGTATCCAAGCTCTTGTTGTAATTGCTGGAGATGCAATTTATCACTGAATTCTAGAGAGCGATTCTGCTCACCCAGCAGCAGACATTTATATTTGGTGGGCTGAAATGCTATCCAAATGCTACTGGATCTCTAGTGATTAGACCACTGGCTTTTTGACACATAAGGTGAAACAAATATGAATAATAAATAGTTTGAAATACAAACCAGTTCACATTCTTACAGTGAACATCTCAGAATTTGTAATAGTAAATTGGGATGCAAAGAAACTTAATATCTTTTTGCAGCTGGAACCCTGTGCAGAAGATCATTAGGCCCAAAGCCAATAACTTTTCATGAGTGTGATTGCAGCTTATTGCTTACACTTCCCATATAAGTTTCAGTGTCATGGGCACATTTGTTTACCCATTAAGCATTTTCTTTATAAATTAGAATTTTTGGTTATGTTTTTCCATGGCTAACTAGTAAGTAGAGAGTTATTCTTTTAGGGAAGTAGGGGACAGTATGTATTTTGAGCCAAAATACTACAGCACCTAAGAAAATTGGGTTTCTGTTCTTAATTACAGGTTTCTTTCTGTCTTTTATAGTATCTTGGTTTTAAAAAAAAAATCAACAAGCTCATTGTGATGCTTTTGATTAGGCTTCAACAGAGATAATAAAAGTGTAGTGTCCTTTTGTGAAAGGAGTTTTTAATTACTGTTAATTGTACTTGCTAGCTTCATTTCTGGAGGGAAACGGAGATGACCTCATCCTGAAAGTTGTCAGTCTTATGCTAGTGTCATTCACCGCCTGGAAAATAGGTTGTTGTTTTGTTTCTTGTTGCTTTTTTTAATGAGGAGCTATCAGCAGGCCTGATGGGCCCTGCAGCTTTGGAAATGCTGTCCAAACTCTGTTTCAGTAGCATGCTTCTTTCTGAAATGTAAAACTGCAGAGCTGAGTTATATCTTCGGAGCAGGGGACGAGCAGAGTCTCAGACCTCTGGTCTGTTTGCTCCAGTAATGTCTCTAACAGCAGCCAGTTCCAAAGACTTTGGTGAGAGGTGGTGGAGTCCTTATAGAGGACAATTATCAAATATTTGAGGGCTTATTCCTACTCTTTCATACTAACTAATCTAATAATCTTGAATGTTTTCATTATCTATTCAAAGGCTTGATTTCTTAAACCTTAGCAGGTCTTGGCTTTGGCATATTCTTGTGAGGTCCACACTTCATCTGTGCTTTGCACTTAAACAAATGGAAAGAGAGTATTCCTTCACCCTTTGGACTGCAAACTGTGCAGGTCAGTGGTGGCTTTATGTATGTTTGTGCAGGTGCCAATGTATTGGGACCAATCGGTATTCAGTTGTGACCATAATCTAAATGCCTGAATATTTATAATCGGTTTAGTTCATTGAACATCTCCGTATGTCAGGAGAAGGATGAATGGGAGTACTTTTTTGTCTCTTTTCACTATTGTGTATTTCTTAAGCTGTTACCTTGTTTAGTCTTACATGAACCTTCTTTAAAATACCGTGAACTTCCAATTCTATTTCAATTCATCCAGTGCCATCTGCCACAGTGTCTGCTATGTATGTCAGCCCTGACGAAAATCCCCATTTCTCATGAGTACCTACACACCCTTTCATAAGGATGATGTGAGAAGCTAAG